TGTGGTGATTTGTGCTAGTGACCGCAACAGGTAGGTGTAAAGCAAAGCCATTCATGCAGTCAATGAATTGAGTACTTAAGTCCGGTGCAAAAACGCATGATCGCACGGGCCCGCCCGGTGCATTCCAGCCTGGGTTCCTTTCAGAAATGCGCTACACTGATCTGACACCTCAGACACTAAACTTTTCTCATTGCTAAGCACATTTTGTATTTTGAGGCTCATTTCAGAGGCATTATTTTGCGGGAGTCCTCAGCGCTTTGCTGCTTTGTTTCGCTTCTCAAATGTCATCACATCAGCATGTACAATAAAGCAGTTGAACAGAATTTCACGGCAAAGTGGACATTTTGCAAAGCATTTTTAATAAATTCATTTTCTCTGGAGTGTAGTGCACCAGAAGTTCCTTTCTTTCTCTAAATCAATAATACCTTGCTAACGTAAGTTGACAACTGAGTAATCATTAAAAAATAGCTAGGATTGTCAAAATATTATATTTAAGAAAATTTTAAAATATACTCTGTTTAAGTGCACTAGCAACCGATAAATTTTTTATTGGAGCTAATATAACTTGAACCAGTAAGTGATTGAAATATTTAGGTAAAAGAAGAGGTAATTACCAGTGCATGGGATACTCGGTGGCTCCCCCTCGAAACCTGGAGCACATCGACAAACTCCGGATCGTAGTTCACAGTATGTATCCGGCCCACAATCATCGCTACTTCGACAACGCAACGACTTTACCAACGTTTCATTTCGTGAGACTACCGCTTCCGTAGTGAGCTTCAGACTGTAAGTTTCCTTGGTTGATGTCGCGACATCTTCACTTTCTGGTCGTGGCGTAGTTGTACCGAGGGATCTGTTCATACTCTTAAAATTGAAAATTAATTTTCTCTTTTAATTTAATCCTAAAAATTTAAAGAACCAATACATGTATTTTCCTATGCTATTCTAGGAAAAGCGATCAATCGACAGCTTTGCCAGTGAAAGATCGATATTGAAGCTGCCGTCCCTTGAGCTATTTTTGAGTGCCTCTGCCTTCCATAAAAAATGATTGCGAAGGGAGCCTTCATTTAACATTCAGGGCAAAAGAATTAAACGCAATATTTATGTGTGCATTCCTATAATACAAGTAGCATCCACCTTGTTAAAAAATCGAATCGCTTGATGAAAAAAAATGAATCAGTTTATCAAAGCTTCTAGAGTTAGCAGTTTTTCTGCCAAAACTTTTGTGTTCCCGTCAGTAGGTCTCAGGTGCGTGTGAAAGTTGTTATGGCATTCCTAAAATAGCTCTTGGTCAGGAACTTGCTGGCGAAAGTTCAACACGCAAGTTTGCCTGGTTGCACATTCAAATAATTGGCCAACGCACGGGCTGTCCGTGCGATGATGCGTTTTTTGCATTGTTCCCCGCAGCTT